TTGGCGCTCAGCCTTCCTTATGGTCCAGCTTTCACAGCCATACATTGCAACTGGGAAAACCATCGCCTTGACTATACGCACTTTTGTTGGCAGGGTGATGTCTCTGCTTTTTAGTACGCTGTCTAGATTTGCCATAGCTTTCCTCCTCAAGAGCAAGCGTCTTTTAATTTCTTGGCTGCAGTCCCCGTCTGTGGTGAATGATAATGGTAAACTACAGTAAAAGCCAAGGTAAAATCAGAATCTTTAAATACACAAGCTTGCATTTTTTATTTAAAAAACTCCCTGAAAAGACTGAAAAGCATGGAAACACAGAAAAATTATCACCACTTCCTTAGCGGTTTACTGGCTTTTGTGCTGCTTCTCCATTTCCTACGGGATGGACACACTACTCATAATTCTTTGCCACTGGCACTAAAATATGTTCGTGTTTTTGGCCCTTTCCATTTTGCTGTTAGCTGCACCCACCATTGGAATGTGGCTTTGAACTTGAGCGGTTTCTGCATCCTCACTGAAAAGGCAGCCAGCAAATGGGAAAAGTGCAAAGCGTAATTGCGCATTGAGGAATCAGTGCAGATGATCCTGGCAAAAGATCTTCCCTGTTTTCCTTCCTTCCTTCCTTCCTTCCTTCCTTCCTTCCTTCCTTCCTTCCATGTAGTCCTGGAGGCGCGAGTGAAGCAGCTGCAGGCCGAGGCCGACAATGTCTCGGAGGTGGCATTCGAGAAAGTTCACGTTTCTCGAACCAGCTGGACCAGTTTCCTTCGCCTAGGCCTACTGCAGAGAGAAGCTGTGCCCGGCCTGACTTGCAATGAGCCCTTCCCGAAGTCCAACACGCAGGAGGCTACCAAGCCCAGCCGCTGGAAGGAAAAGTTGAAACGGGAGAAGATGATCAAGCACAAGCGAGAGCTGAGACTGGAGGCCAAGTTCTCCATCAGCACCCAGACGGTCCTGAAAGATCTTGCCGCAGCTCAGAACCAGGTCGGCCAGAGCAGAGCCAGAGAGCCGGCGAGGCTGAAACCGGCTCAGGGGCAGGCCTTGAAACCGGCTCAGGGGCAGGCCTTGAAACCAGCTCGGGGGCAGGCCTTAAAACCGGCTCAGGGGCAGGCCTTAAAACCGGCTCAAGAGCAGGCCTTGAAACCGGCTCAGGAGCAGGCCTCGAAACCGGCTCGGGAGCAGGCCTCGAAACCGGCTCGGGAGCAGGCCTCGAAACTGCAGAACGATGCCCAGGTGGCCGAGGTCAGGGACCCCTCTGCAGAGAAGTGCCCGGCTGGCTTGCCGCAGGGCAGCCCCGCCCCGGGAGACCTGCAGAAACACGTCGTGAGCCTGCAGAAGGCACCTGCGGAGACGGCAGGGCGCTACCGGAACGCCCAGCTCACCCTCTTGGCTTACCTGGATGCCTGCATTTTTCTCAAGCAGCTGGATCGGGCACAGCAGTGCCTGATGTTCTACCACCGCTCCCTGAAGCGGCAGAAGCAGCTGGACATCCATGCATATAACCTGCTCTTGCACGCATACGCCAAGCAGGTAAGGGCCTCGTGCCCCGCCTGGGGCCTCGGAGGGGCGGTTTGGCAGCCCTGTGGGCACGCACGGAGAGTCTCGCTCGTTGCTTTCTCTCCGGTTCCACCTCGTTCCTGTGGGTCACAGGAGGATTCGGGGTGGCAGTGCATCGGTCGGGGGGAGGGGCAGCTTCCATTTCAAAGCCCTCTACCTGCGTTCTGCCCCAGGTGCCTTGGGCCGGTTGCCCCACCTCTGCCTGGCTTTGGCCTATCCTGCAGGGCCATTGTGAAAATAAAATAAGCATGACGGAGGAACCGACTCTGCCTTGAGGATCCTGGTACCATAACGCCAGAACAGGCAGCCCAGCAGATGAGCGCTCCCAGCATCCCCAGCCATGGGCCATACTTGCTGCGGCTGGTGGGCCTTGCATTCCAGAACCTCCCCGTTTTTCAGTTCAGGAACTTTGGTGGGCACAGAATGGGGGCTGCTTGGATGTTTTGGGGGCCGGGTGAGTGCACTCAGGCGATGCCGCATCCGCTGGTTGTTCTGGTCGCTCAGTGTTCTGCAGCCGCTTCCGAGGCCTAAAACAGGTGTGGGCCAAGCTCCCTTCTCCTGTCCCCACCTGCCGCATGCCTTGTCGTCACCCACAGAGACTTCTCTTGCTCGCCTGCCGCCAGGGCCTTTATCCTCACTCCTCAAGGGGAAGGGTCTCCCCAGCAGAGACCCCAGTCTCTGATTCTTTGCCTAACCTGCCTCTCAGAGTGGTTGTGAGGATAATCGTGCATCAGCATTAGCCACTTTGGATTCCCAGCAGGAGAGAAAGGGAACCTGGCCCCTTGTTCCTGGAAACAGTTTGTGTCACAAGTTGTAAAAAAGGGTCTAATCTGAAGATCCATCAGCATAGGAGAGTGATAGTGTGTTGGATTGGGACGTGGGAGAACCAGGTTGTCATAAAAATCAGAAACTTGATGGACCCTTTTCCAAACAGTACACGTTCTGCACAAGTTTTCACCACTTTTATTGTGCTTGAGTGGATTCGACCTCAGAGGTGGCTGAAAAAATGGACTTTGAGTGAACAAAGGCATTCTCTCCTTAGGGTTCCCTGCATGAGGTTTGCTTTGTCTTCTCCCTGCTGGAGCAGGCTGGGCTGGAGCCTAACCGGGACTCCTACATTGCCGCCCTGAGTTGCATGGGCCGATCCGACGCAGCCACCTTTATCACCAGCAGGTAAAGAACAGCTGTCCGAGTGGCCATCAAGCCAGGCGACTTCAGAAAGGCAAAGGGAAGGAAGTGACGTCCATTTCCTGGAAAAGTTAGAACCGGAAAAGTTTCTCATGCCTATTAGCTTAAGGTCCTTTGTGCAGGGCAGAAGTGTCATTTTATATGGGGGAATTTCCTGATGCCCTGGAAAGACATTTAAATGAGTGTGTTTATTTTACTTGTATTAAGTAGGAAAAACCCTAAATAGACCTTATTGATTTTTTCCCTCTGAAGTTCTTAGGTGTATCTGACCTGAAATGGTGAATGAAATAGCATTTAATATGCTTCATTTTGGAGATTTTTGGTTTGCAATATTTGTAAAAATGTAAAGATGATGAACCAGCTAATGTTTAATGGTGCAAGTCATGGGTTAATTGAGCCTCGATTTGCCAAGATGTATTTTATGGCTTTTTGAATATGCAACCTTTACTTGGGCCACCCAGGAACTGGCTAACATCCCTTACTCTTTAGATTAATCAATCAGCCAGCAGAGGAGTTAACTCTGGGTTGCTGGTTGCTGTTGCTAGTCGTGAAGTTGCGTTCGACCCATTGCGACCCCATGGACAACCTTCCTCCAGGCTCTCCTGCCTTCCACCATCCCCTGGAGTCTACCGGAGCTCACACCCAGCACCCCAGTGACCCCATCCAGCCACCTCGTCTTCTGCCGTCCCCTCCTTCTTTTGCCCTCCATCGTCCCCAGCATCAGGCTCTTCTCCAGGGAGTCTTTCTTTCTCATTCGGTGGCCAAAGTATCTGAGCTTCATCTTCAGAATCTGGCCTTCCAAAGAGCAGTCGGGGTTGATCTCCTCTAGGACTGACCGTTTGATCACCTTGCGGTCCAAGGGACTCGCAGGAGTCTCCTCCAGCACCACAATTAACTGAAGAGTGTCTGCATCTAGATATTGTGTAGCAGTCCTCGGTTGACCTGATAGGAATCGGCTGTTCCGACTAAGCAGAGGCCCTGCACCGTCGGCAATGAATTCACCCACAGCTTGCAACTTCCCTTTGCTGTTCACCTGCCCCCAGGTGCCTCAAGCAGCTCGAGGAGAGCCACATCTGCCTGGAGGATCTCTTCCGAGACTCAGTGCTTGAGGATGACGAGGTAGAGATGGCTCTCAAAGCCATCCGGAAAGTCAAACCGGATTTCTCCCCCTCTCTGCCGCATTACCTGCACGAAACCTGCACGATTCCCCTGATCCAGAACTTCTACACGAAGGTCAGTGGAAGCGGCTGGGCACAGCGTGAACTTCTGCCTTTTTCACAGTGCCCAGACTTCTACCGAGCGGACGCTTGGTGCCCGCGGTCAGGCGGGGGCTGGCTCATGGCACTTCTGTCCTTGCTTTTTCCCATTCCACATAGCTCTTCTCTCCAATGGTGCGGGTGTCCGGCTAGCTTCACCGGCATCGTCTGTTGTTCAGCCGGGGCTGGCCCAAAACGCCGCATGTTTTACTTGCCTCTGTGAAACACGATCTCAGGCCCAAACCTCCAAAGTGGAGTGCGGCCCATGGGCTGAAGCGGTGGGCCTTGGGTTCTGCCTGCCTGCCCCACCTCCTTGCTCAGTGGCCCCCAACAAACCGCCGCCCCCCATTCTTGGTCTCCTCCCCAGAAGAACGACGTCTCTTACCCCAAGCTCAATTTCACGGTGCAAGAGCTGCAGGAGAAGTTCCAGAAGCAATTAGCCATGGAGTCGTCCGACACGGTCGCCATCGACTCGGTGGAGGCGGGAAAGCCCGTGACAAACTACGTGGTCCAAGCGGTAAAACCTGCGTGCGGCGCTCCTGGGGACCGTGGACGGGATGGGCTGTTGCACTCGTGGCCTGCTGCCTGCGCTTTTGCCATGGGCAGCCGGTGGCCCATTGCGCTCGCAGAAACCTGGGCCAGGTCAGCCTTTGAAATTCTGCTCCTCAAAGCCACACGCCTTGTGAGGTCGTGAAATGGGGAATTGGGGCCCATGTGGGTTCATTTTTTTAAAAAACAATATTAAAATTTTAAACTAATACTAAAAAACATCAGACATCACATACATCGGATTTACTGGGTCAAACCCCTACTACATATTTTTTAACATTCTATAGTCAAATTCAAATCAGTTTATAATAATTTGAAAACATCTCTAAATTTACGCCAAGTCCCGTTTCTCCAGCCAATTATAGAAAGAGTCCCAAGTTTGATAGAAGTCAGTGTCCTCTTTCTCCTTCAATGATAAAGTCAATCTATCCATTTCTGCGCAGTCCAAGATCTTTCTTAAAATCAATCCCTCGGTGGGCAGCTCCTCACTTTTCCAGTATTGAGCAAACGCAGTCCTCGCCCCTGTGATTAGGTGTAACATCAAGTACATTTCCCGTCTGTTAATATCTTCCGGTATGATGCCTAACAAGAAAACTTCAGGTTTAAAAGCAAAGGGTTTTTGTAGTATTTCCTCCAGCCATTTACGTATTTTAATCCAACACTTTTTTTGCATTATCACAAGTCCACCACATATGATAGAAAGTACCCGCTTTATGTTTACCCCGTGTGGGTTCATTATTGCTGTCTTTTCCTTTTTTGTGCAGCGGAAACAGCTGGCCACGCTCCGTTCCCAGTGGCAGGCATCTCTCCTCCAGAGCCTGTGGAAATCGAAGCTGCACATTGGCCAACGGAAATCGGGCCCGAACCTCCTTCCTTTCCTCTGCCTGCTGGAGGACAAGGTGTATGTTGACATCTTGGTGCAGGTACAAATTGCTGAACACCCCACCAAGAGGGTGCAGAGACAGAGCCATGCTTCCTAAAACTTAACTTCTGATTGTGCATAAAAACACAGGAAAGGAAAAGGGGAGAGAAAAAAGAAAGGGAACAAAGATGCTTTTCTATATTTTCATCTGATCAGTTTGACAGATAAATTACAGAACGGACACACACAACATGTGTGCTTGTATATTGTTTTATGATGGGCAGAGAAATACTCTGCTATCAGTGAAAACAGTTTTATTTGTGTTTTAGCAACAGCGGGCCAAATACCCATGGATTTATGAATGGTGCCTAAATATTCCCCATTCCATTGGCAGAAGGCTTGTTGACTTATCCTCCCAGCATTCTAATTTCAGCCTTTTCAAGGGGAAGAGGGCACAGAAAATCTATTTTTTCTATGTGACCCTGTGTTTAGTTTCAAGAACCAGACAGAGAGTTGGGGGTACATCAGTGACTATTAAAGAGTTTCCCAGTGTAAAGTTTATCCGTATTATAATCTCACCCCCAAAAGAGGCAGTTACTGAGCGTTGCCAAATGTGTAGGCACGGGGAATATCAGGCATAGCTGTGCGGCCCATTAATGTTGGAGTGTCGGACTGGGGCTTGTGGGGCTGATCCAGTTTCTGTCACTGCTCAGCCTGTGGGCAGCTTTGGACCGTCATGGATTCTCAGCCTTGCCTACATCCTAGGTGGGGATCAAAGAGGAGAGGAGAGAGATTATGCCAGCTGTCTTGGATTCCTTGTAGGAAAAAGGCAAGATTTAAATATAGTCAATACACTTTTCCTCTAATGCCGTTGGGTAGATGCATAGGGTTACCCTCGAAGGTGTCTTTCAGACGGGCTGATGGAATGATTCACTTTGCTTCTCACCTTCTGTATTCCCCGTTGGACAGCACTGATTCATTTCTGCTTTAAAAGAAACGGGGGGAAGGTCCACAGGTGTGAACAGGGTGTGCATGCATTTGCATGCCCCCCTTTTTGGTGGAAGGGTTCCCCATTTTTAAAATACTATGAAATGATCCTGCTGGCAGGCTGCTGCGGGCCAAACCCACATGCCTCCTCCCTCCTGCTCTGGCTTTGCAGGCTGCCTCCCAGATCCCCCCACAAGGGGAGTCCCTTACGACCTTCGCCCGGGATCTGGGCACCAAGGTGTTCAATAAATACACTCTGCAGAAGAAGTCCAGGAGCCGAGTGGTGGAGAAAATGCAGCAGGTCTACAAGGGTTACGTCCAGCTGCTCGCCAAGGACAGCAAGGTCTTTCTCCTCGGCTTGCTTTTGTGGGGCAGAGCCGCTGGTCGCGGCTTTCTTGGAGGCGGGGTCCCACCCTGGCCCTCTCAGAGGTGTTGGTGCTCCTGCTCGTGTGTGGCCTGCAGGCCCACCTGGTGGGGGCTTGTTCTGGGGGTGGGCAAGGCTGGGCGCAAAGGGGTGGGCGCACAGGGCCTGTAGGAGAGGCGGGTCCACTTTTGCTAAGGGGGGTGGTAGGGAATTGCACAAAAGCAGGGAGACAGCAAACTGGTGGTCAGGAGGAACGGGGTGGGTCTAGGCAGGGGCAGCCAGGGCCCTAAGAGGCTTCCGAAGGTAAGAAATGAGATTGCCCGGCTCACTGGCTTAGAATTTCAAAGACACAACAGAAAAGGAAAGGGGATGAGGAGGGCAGAGGAGAAAACCAAGCTCAGACACAAGATTCTTGGTTCTGCTTTCTGGTTGGGCCTTTCAGCAGCAGAGTTGGGGGGTCTTCATCTCTGGCGTGAGCATTCAAGACTGTTTTGCTCCCCCGCAGCCGGATAATCTCCTGCCACGGGAGTACTGGGAGCAGCTTGCGACCGAGGCTGGTTGCAGCCCTTCCCTGTTCAAGCAGGAGCTTCCCTGGCCCCATTCGCTGCTGGTGCAGGTCGGCCTTCACCTGGTGGAGCTCTTGGTCCAGGAGCTGAAGATGCAGAGCAATCTCTTGAGTCCAGGACTGGAGCAGAGACTCATTCCCGTCCTCTATCACGTCTACTCTTTCCGCAGCGGCCGGCAGGTAGGTAAAGACCCAACGCCTGAGGGAAGCGATATATTTGCAAACGCTTTCTATGTCACTCGTGTGATTTCTTCCTATATACATCCCATGCATGTTTAGAGAGAAATCCCAGCCAGCTAAATCATAGGACCTATAGTTTTCCTGTCCGAGCATGCATATGATGTTAGGAGCATTTTCTGTCTGAACATGCATAGGATGGTATGACTTTTTTGTCTAAATATGGATACATTTGCTGATCGCAGCTTGCTTAATCAGTGCGTGATTGATGCTGTTGATTTGCATGATTTCCCTGGTTCGGTTTTTGTTCTTTTTGAAGAACAGAATGATCCTACATAAGCAGGGAGAGCTTTCCATCTTTCGTGAAGACCAGGGTGCCACCACGAAAAAGCCCCTCCCTCTCGTAGCCACCAGCTCCCCCGCTTTGCCGGGGGAAAGGGCACGGCCTAGGAGCCGTCGCTGCCAGCCGGGGGGATTGTCTGGACCAGTTACCTCGGCCGTCCCAGGAAGGCCGGGTGAGACGCGGCCGGAATTGTCCTCAGAGACACGTCCTCCTCCCGCCACAGATCGGGTTCATCAAGCCCCACCCCATGCTGACCCGTCTCCTCCTGAACGCGGCCGAGACCACCCTCACCTTCGACAGCTACGTCATCCCCACGCTGTGCCCCCCGGTGCCGTGGGTGTCCCCTCACTTCGGCGCCTACATCCTCAGCTCCACCCGGCTGATGCGCTCCGTGGAGGAGGCCGCGCAGCACCAGCTCCTGCTGGAACAGGTCCCCCGGAGCGACCTGTTCCCCGTCATGGACGCCCTCAACCAGCTGGGGAACTGCCCCTGGCGCATCAACGGCGCCATCCTGGACGTGATCGTCTCCCTCTTCAACGACAAGGGCGACGAGAAGCTGGGCGTCCCACCCCCACCCTCGGAGGCCCCCCAGCCCCTCCGGTGCCTCCCCGACGGGAAGCCGCTGGGCCAGCTGGCCCTGAAGAGGGAGATGGCGCGCTGCCACAAGAAGGCCATGGAGATGCACAGCCTGCGCATGAACGGGCTCTACAAGCTCTCCATCGCCCAGCACATGCGGGGCCAGACCTTCTGGTTCCCCCACAACATGGACTTCCGCGGGAGGACCTACCCCTGCCCGCCCCACTTGAACCACCTGGGCAGCGACCTCTCCCGCGCCATCCTGTCCTTCGCCGAGGGGAAGCCGCTGGGGCCGCACGGCCTCAACTGGCTGAAGATCCACCTCATCAACCTCACGGGGCTGAAGAAGAAGAACTCGCTGCAGGACCGGCTGTGCTATGCCGATGAGATCATGGACGACATCTTGGATTCCGCGGACCGGCCCCTGGCGGTGAGTCCGCGCTGGAGGTGCCCCGAGCACTGCTCGGGCAGGGGTGTTTAGCCCCGGTGCCCATTTCCCTGCTGAAGCGTTGGACAGGGTGTCGGCTGCGGGCTTCAACTGTGAATCTCCAGTTCTGTTTAAAACGGCACATAAAGTTTCTAGGCCTCATGGCAGAGTTGTTGGATCCCTGAGCTTCAGTACAGAGAAACTCGCAGGGATTCTGTCCTGAAGCCAACAGTGACGCAGGGCTGGTGCACCAGCGTGTTTTTCATTACATCTGTACATTTCAAGAGAGGCAGTTCAGCCATTTAGAATGTGTGAAAGATCAGCACAAGAGCAGGGAAGCAGCCAAAGGGTTGGTGGTCCCTGGGGAGGGGACCAGAGGGTGGGGGTTTGCTCTTCTGCGGGGTGTGTGGAGCTTTGCCAGCCACACCCTCTCCTAGTTACTCCATTCCGTGCTCACCAGCCTTACAGCCAGCCAGTCTTCCGTGGCCGCAGACCCCACCCAGTTCCCAGGGAGTTCTCTGAGGGGTGGACTCCTCTCCCCTTACACTTCTTTCCCCGTATGTAATTATTTTGGGGCCAGAGAGAAGCCTTTTGCCCACCTCGGGGTTCCATCGACCTTTTTAGTTCAGCTCCCCTGTCCCTGCATGGGCATGTTTTTAGGGTCTCTCTCCCCTTCCCCTCCAGGGCAAGAAGTGGTGGATGAACACGGACGAACCTTGGCAGGTTTTGGCGTGTTGCATGGAGATCGCCCAGGCAGTGAGGTCCCCGGACCCTGCTGCATACGTGTCCCATTTCCCCGTCCATCAGGTGAGCGAGTCGGTGAGGTGCCGAAGGGGCTTCCACTCCGTGTGTGGCCCGTGGCAAGGGCAGCCCCCGCCTCCTCCCTGCCTCCTGCTGCCCGTCTCCCGTTGCATGCTGGAATGGCTTCGGGGCAGGGACCCTGCACTTGGTAACGCCGCCGGCGTGGCAGAAGCCCCGCTTCCGTGGCCTTCCCCAGCCCTGTAGCTCCAGATTTCGGGCAGGACTGCTCCTCCCATCATTCCCAGCAGTCCTGTGGGCCTCAGTATCTTGTCCACCGCTGCGTGGCCGGCCGCTTCTCCAGCGCTGCGTTCTCCTCGTAGGACGGGTCTTGCAACGGGCTTCAGCACTACGCGGCTCTCGGGAGGGACACCGTGGGCGCAGCTTCGGTGAACCTGATGCCGAGTGCCGTGCCGCAGGATGTCTACAGCGGGGTAGCCCAGAAGGTGAGGCCTGCGGGGTGGTGATCCCCCGCCCCGAATGCACCCGATGCTCCTCATTGCCCCCCCATCAGGTGCGTGCATCTGCACCAGACAAGTCGGATGCTCTGCCTTGATGGCATCGAAATTCATGGTGCTTTCGTGCAAGAGGCCGCTTCTCTTCCCTGGACCGCCCTCCAGAGGGAGACTGATAAAATGCCATCCCGTTGAAATCACCTCCCTTTTTGGGGTGCCAGAGCGCTTCCAGCTGAGGCTCGGTCCCATTTCCGAGAGGGTCCTGGGGCCGTGGCCCATAGCTGGGTGTGGCTAATAGCAACGGGGGCAGGGAAACCCCAAACACGGCGTTTTTCTCTGAAAGCTCTTCTTTCCTTTAGAGAAGCTTTACAAAATGACTGGAAAAACTGCCAAAATGGGGGGAACGCTGCATGGGTGCCGGCTGGGAGAGAAGGGGAGGTTCCGGGAAGCCACCGTGGTGGAGCCCCCCCGCCCAGGGCTGAGCTCAGCCCTCTTGCTGAGCTTCGTCTTGCCCCCGCTTTCTGCCCCCGCAACCCCTGCAGGTGGAGGAGTTCCGGAAACTAGACGCCAGCCAGGGCAGCAAAATCGCACAGGTCTTGGAGGGCTTCATCACCCGAAAGGTGGTGAAACAGACAGTGATGACGGTTGTCTACGGGGTCACCCGCTATGGGGGCCGCCTCCAGATCGAGAAGCGCCTCAAGGAGATCGACGACTTCCCCCCAGTAAGTGTGTTCGCCGTCATGCACACCCCCTGTCCAAGCCCAGCTTTTTCGGCGGGTTCTTCCACGCTGCAAGTGATACGGCGGCTATGGGAAGCCGGGAAGAGAAGATGATGAAAGGTGTGGCGTATTTCTCAAGCGCCAGGTCCTGCAATCCTATGCATGTTTAGACAAAAAATCTACAGCCTTATGCATGTTATGCACCCCCCACACACACACATTTCAGGCTTTGTCCTGTCCCCCCAAAAGATGGCCTTTAGAAAGGCTGTAATGGCCTTCGCATTCCGGCTGGATTTGGGCCGCTCTGTGGCACTGTCTTTGTTGAGGCTGCTGCTCCAGTCTGAGGGCTGAATCTGACTTGTTCAGCCCCTGTGTAGTTTTTAAAAGAAGGATTTCAGTGGCTTTTCCCCCTGCAACCTTCCTCTGTGGTCTTACTGGCCAATGGGCAAGAGAGGACAGTCTCTGTGGAAAAGAGGACGCTGCAAGCAGCCGCCTTTTCCCTGCGTGACCTTGCATGAATTTGTGCCCTCAATAAAGAAAGCTTTTGAAGCTCGCTGCTTCTGCTCCAAATGGTCTCTGTCTTCTCTTCTCCGAATCTAGGAATATGTCTGGGAAGCATCGTTCTACCTAGTCCAGAAAGTCTTCCACAGCCTCAAGGAGATGTTCTCCGCGACCCGAGAAATACAGGTACGCTAGCTTTAGTCAGTTTCGTTGCAAGAACGATCGCTGCACCAGGGTTCGCCATGCGCTTGCGCTCTCTCTTCCTCCCTCCTGCCGAGGGACCGTCTCGCTCGTTTTCCTGCATCCCAGCCTGCGAGAGAGACTCATCACGACCCTCTGCCCCAGAGGCCCTGCCCGGGACCCTCCTGAATGCCAGCTCTGTGCCCGGAAGACAGCTCTGGAGCTGGAAGCGGCTCCTTCTGGCCTCCCTCGTGCCACTGCTCTCTGGACGTCCCTAAGCACTTTCTGCCGGTGGCTTCTCTCCCTGCAGGCCTGGCTAACGGAGAGCGCGCGGCTGATTGCGAAGTCCGGATGGAGCGTGGAGTGGGTGACCCCGCTGGGACTGCCCGTCATCCAGCCATACCATCGCTCCAGGTCCATAATGGTAAGCCCAAAGGGGGAGGCGGAGGAAGGAAAGGAAGGAAGGAAGGAAGGAAGGAAGGAAGGAAGGCAGGCAGGCAGGCAGGCAGGCAGGCAGGCAGGCAGGCAGGCAGGCAGGAAGGAAGAGCTGTCCTGCCACACTCCTTCCAGCAAGGACCCCGTGGCGGCCTCCGTGGGGTCCTCTGACCCCGTTTCAGTCTTGCTCTGCGTGAGGCAGATCGCCCGGGGCTGTCCCGGTATCACTGGGGGAGCTTTGCAGCCAGGTGGGGCTGGAACCCCACAGCTGAGCCTGACAATTTAACCTATTCTAGGGTGATCTTGTGGGGTGTGACGGAGAGTTAGCGTCACCCACATGCACACATGACTGTGTGGCGAACCCGCACGGGGTGTCTGCTAGTTGGGAAAGTTCTGCGGCCCTGTGGCTCATGGTGGTCCCGATCCAGATAGGGACATGTGGGGGGTGGGTGTGTGTGTGTGTGTGAGAGAGAGAGAGAGAGAGAGAGCGAGAGCGCTTCCCACAAGCTTCTCTGTCTCCTTACCAGCTCCTGAGTGTGGACTAAACTGGAAGCAGTGCAGGATTCCTCCCCACTGCCCCACCCCCAGCCGACTTTTTGTTTTAAAGCAATATTTTATTGTGAGTTTCAGCAAAACAAAACTTCTAAGAAGGGAAGAGAAAAAAGGGGGGGAAAGCTGGAGTTTTCTCATATAACATTTGGGTAGATGCACAGGAAACATGCACCCCACAAACTTACGCAGAGAAACTCATTGCTGTCAGCAAAAATAGCTATATGTAAGCTTCCACAAGCGCATAGCAATATGTAAGCTATATGTAAGCTCCCACAAGCGCATAGCAAATAGCCACGTATTTAGTCTTGTCTCTTGCTTTCTCCCCTGACGCAC